TAAAAAAAAGGATTAAACACTAAATTAAAGCTAAACGAAAGCGATGTTTTAAGCTAGCTCTTTCCAAAAATCAAGGTTTCTGCTAAATCTTTTTATAAACATAGTACTTTTGACCAAAATAAAAATTAATTAATCCTTTTGTAACCAATATTTCTGAAATAGATAAAACCTAAAACATTGATGAAAAAAGTAATTATAATAAACATTATGTATTTTGCTTTATGTCAGGGGTCTCGAACGTTTTCCAGGCCAAGGACCCCCAAACTGATGGCGAGATGGAGTGGGGACCCTCTAATTATATATATTTTGTGAAATTGTGTTATATCAAACTGGTCTTATAGTCATTCTATTACAGAAGGAGTAATGAAATGAAAGTAATTTAATTATTAAAGTATTTCTGATTCTTGGTTGATGGGACAGGGGTTGTGAATGAAACCGTGCCCAGCTTGAAAGAGCTCCTGTGTGTCGCTAATGTGTGCATTGATGACTGAAAGACATCTTCTGCCTCCATTTATCTGCTTACTACAGTGTGTTGAATTCATGTTAATGTGGAATTAAAGACATTTCAATTAGTGGAAAAAACTTTCGTGACCCCAATACAGTACCTCCGTAGACCCCCTGTTGAAGACCTCTGCTTTATGTGACTAATATTTCTTAAGAGAACTGTAAACAATAAAAAAAAAAAGTATAAAATTCTATTAAAAACATATTAATTGTTTATTAACCAAAATCTGTTTTGGTCTTTTGAAAGAATGTCCTTCTCCAGTTTTAAAGCTGAGCTATTTACCTCTGTTTCTCCATATTAAATAGACATCTAACAAAGATGTATTTATCCTCTCTTATAGCTCTATAATTTGGACAACAATCAAGTATTTGAAGGGAGTACAAATAGATCTTCAGTAGGATGTCCCCATCCTCCCTGACATGAACAAATATAGAAGTATTTAACAGTTCTCCCACACACAGGAACTCATGATGAATGCGGCGAACACGACATAGCGTCATAATATTATGATTAATTCTTACATTAAATCCCCCGTTTGCTTGTGGGAAAAAGTCGCTACTAATTTTAAAGCAGCACGCAGTCACGAGTCGGAGAACTTATTCGTTTACGTAAACATGCAGGGTTATTAATTTTCTTTTCAGCTGTCTCACAAAGACGCGTGATTTATAGATGCCGTCTCTGCCTTCACACAAAGAAAAAGCAGAAACAAATTGCGGTCTGAGCCGTACTCTATCATGTTTCTTAGGGTCTAAATTCACATTTCCAGTGAGATTGGACTTCTGGCGCTTCCCTGTGGTATCATCAATATTCCCCTCCCTCTCTTTTATATAACAGCTTCACTTAACACTGTTCCTCCTTGATCAATAAAGTCACAGGAGGTAGCTGGAAACTGACAAATCGCTTTAAAGCAGACTCACATTTATAATATTTCTCTTTCCTCTCTTGTCTTTACTCCATTTACTCTGTTTCTGCCTCTTCATAATTTGCCCTTTTTGTCAGTGCCGCTGCTTCTCTGCCATCTCATCTCTCTCCATTTTCACTCCCCCTTGTCCTTTCTCTCTAATCTTCCCTTCTTATTTTACATCCTCACCTCTTTCTGTCTCTTTCTGCTGTCTGGATTAAATGACAGCTCTTTTCTGCTCTTCTCTCCATTGCATTATTGTTATTTTTTTAGTTTCATACCATCAGCAAATAGCTTTTGTGAATTTTTTAACAATTATTTGAAATTGTGCTTACTTTCAGAGTGGCAGGTCTCCTTTGATAAGCTCCCATTTTTAAGTAGAGCTCATAAGTACAAAGACGCTTTTGTAGGGAGGACCAGGAAGATGAAATGAACCAATTTTCTGCTACATGGTTTAGAGTTAGCGGACAATTTAAGCACAGTGTGATAGTTCCAGAAGCGGCTAGCAATTTAGATTTATCTTAAAGTTCAGATTCATTCTTGTGTAAAGTGTTCTATGCCGTTTTTGGAGGTAATATAAGGTAGCTCGTTACGCATCGGTCATTGAGGTGAAACAGCTTAAGCTGCAAAGAAAACAAAAAGTCCTCTTTATTTCTCATAAAACTATTAAGAGCAATAAAAATTCTCCTTTTTGTCAGAACACAGCCTTTTTTATAAACCTTTGAGCATGAACTTTCCTTATGGGATCCTGTGATCAAGTGCAGCACTTTGTAAGTTAATGTGCAACTGTGACTTGCAGTGACAAATGCACAATAAACCAATCATAACCATCCACAGACTGGAAAGACCTTGAAGTAAAAAAATATATATATAATAAAAAAATGTGTGTATATGACCTAAGACTGAAATTGCATTCGCTATGAAAGTGAGTTTTTTCACAAACTAAACTGTTCAGTCTGCTCTCTGGACCCACAGTCTCTTCATTCTCTTTCTTTTTTTAAACTAGTAAAGCGAATGCTTTCACTTTAATGGTAACAACCCACCCATCTAGCAAGCCAGAGCAGTACAAATGCACTTAAACTCTAAACAGCGTCCTGTCTGAAAAAAAGGAACAAATTTGAAAAAGGCCACCAAATTCGTTGGTGACAAGAGACCCTGAGGGATGCGGCTAAAAGGGGCGGGGCTTTAGTGAGGACCTTGCCTTGCTGTTGCCAACTTAGCATATCTGTCGTTACATTTAGCGACTTTTGAGACACATCTATTGTGTTTCTTCTAAGTAAAATGTAGCAACTAGCGACAAATCTAGAGCCTTTTTTATACATTCTTGAGACTTTTAGCAACATCATGAAAGCAATGATTGCTCTAGATCAGGGTTCTTCAATGTTTTCCAGCCCAACGACCCCCAAACTGATGGTGACATGGAGCGGGGACCCCCTAATTATATATATTGTATGAAATTGTGTTATATCAAAATAGTCCTTTAGTCACTCTATTACAGATGGAGTCATGGGCGGTTCTAAACAGTGGCCAATGGGGGCCAGTGCCCCTGTAGATCATGTCCTGGCCCCTGTACTAAAGACATAATACTAGGAGAAATTCTAATGATGATATGTGACAGAGTTGACATGGTTTCTGATAGGTCCTTTGGATCTATTTAATTTTTTTTTCTTTAAAAAATTATTTTTTACTAATTATTTAAAAACAATAGCTTCAGTGATATTAAGATAGAATCCCAGTTTTCATCTGTTGCTTTTTTCAAAACAAATGAAAAAATACGGCTGAATTTATCAGTTTTTCTTGAGTTCTAATTCTGATTTAAAAAAATTTGTAATTTTAACTTAATTTAAAACTTAATTTAAAAAATATATAAAATGCCTAAATTAAGAATATATATTGACCTAATATTCCTCATAAAAGCTTTGTTTGATCTTTTTTGATATATTTATATAGCTACAATTTCTTGAGTTGCTTTTTTTTTTTTTTGCTATGCTAAGGGACTTTTATATTGATTTTAACGATAATCCAAATTAACATTTTTGAGACAAAAATAAACAGTTTCAGTTAGAAGACATAAAAAATGTCACTGTTTTAATATATTTCAATACCTTGCTCGTTTTTTTTTTTTTTTTTACTTCATGTTTTACTGTGCCCCCATNGATAGGTCCTTTGGATCTATTTAATTTTTTTTTCTTTAAAAAATTATTTTTTACTAATTATTTAAAAACAATAGCTTCAGTGATATTAAGATAGAATCCCAGTTTTCATCTGTTGTTTTTTTCAAAACAAATAAAAAAATACGGCTGAATTTATCAGTTTTTCTTGAGTTCTAATTCTGATTTTATAGAAAACTATAATTTTAACTTAAATTAAGTTAAAAAAAAATTACAATTCCTAAATGATGAATATATATTGATCTAATATTCCTCATAAAAGCTTTGTTTGATCTTTTTTGATATATTTATATAGCTACAATATCTTGAGTTGCTTTTTTTTTTTTTGCTATGCTAAGGGACTTTTATATTGATTTTAAGGATAATCCAAATTAACATTTTTGAGACAAAAATAAACAGTTTCAGTTAGAAGACATAAAAAATGTCACTGTTTTAATATATTTCAATACCTTGCTCGTTTTTTTTTTTTTTTTTACTTCATGTTTTACTGTGCCCCCATAAAAACACACTGGACCCCCCTTGGCCCCATGGAACATTTAGTCTAGAACCGCCACTGGATGGAGTAATGTAATGGAAGTAATTTCTCCCTGGGATTATTAAAGTATTTCTGATTCTGATTCCTCGTTGATGGGACAGGTGTTGTGAATGAAACGGTGCCCAGATAGAAAGAGCTCCTGTGTGTCGCTGAATGTGTGCATTGATGACTGAAAGACATCTTCTGCCTCCATTTATCTGTTTACTACAGTGTGTTGAATTCATGTTAATGTGGATTGAAAGACATTTCAATTACTGGAAAAAATTACAGGGGTATATTAAAAAAAGAAAAAAGACTAATCAACCAAAACTTTCACGACCCCCATGCAGTACCTCCGTGGACCCCCTTGGGGTCGCGGACCCCCTGTTGAAGACCTCTGCTCTACAGCACATATAGTCTAGATGTGTTCTGCAGTATAACTGTTTAATAGCCATTGGCTTACTTCCAGGGTTCTTCCAGAGAATGTTGCTAATCTTAATTAAGGAAAGCTTTCAATTATAGGTACATCTGGGAACCTTATAAACTGTAAAAGGGTTAAAATGTGAGATTTTTGTGTGGGTTAAATTTTAAAGTTGTACACAGAAGAGGAGAAGTCATATGAGGCATACATTTACGATTCTTGCTCGGTCTCTGTAATTTAACCCACCGACACATGGATAATACATCTAGATCACACCTAAAGTGTGTTAGGCCTGAGTTCAGATTTCAGAGTGTTTTGATAAAAGCGAAGCATAAAAGAACTTATTTTCTAAAGGAACTGACTCTGACTTCAATCTAAAAAGGTAAACATTTGACTTTAAGGTAGAACTCTAGGTTCACTGGACGGCTAAATTAAAACACCTACATCAGAAAAAAAAAAGAGAAATGGACAGCAGTGGCATATTTCACCTGGAGAAGCAGGTCCGACGCAGGCTTGATCCTCTGCTGGAACAAAACACTGAGAGCTCGGTTTTGCTGCTCAAGGTCGAAAACTCTCGTTCGCAGCTTCAGACATTCCTCCCTCAGATCCTGACACAGGGAAATAAAACAAAGGGAGATTTTGTTTGACGTCTAGCTAATTTAGTGTTAAAACCAAACAGGGAGAACTTTGAACAATTCTTGAAGAATTATCCATCCATTAACCTAAAACGCTAAAAGAAGTAATTTAAAAACAAGAATAAGAAAAGATCAAACAAACCTTCTGTGTAAGGAGTGCTTGCACAACTTGATTGGCAACCTTTGAAGAAAAAAAAAAAACATGATTCCAGCTTTAAGTCTGAGCTTTTGAAATGATTCCTCAGCTTAAAACAGACAAACACAACATATTAGACATTTTTCTTCATTTTTCTCTCATGCATTTTTCTTTTGCACTCCTTCCTCAGCCCCTCGCCTCCTAATGGTGCTATCGACAGCGCCTGGTTGATGTACAGGCAAAGGCACGACTAGCTAAAGTGCTGTTGTGCCTGGCAGTCGGTCTCAGAGCGGCTCACGCCCGACCACAAGGCCGATGCAGACGCGGCTCCGATTACCACTCATCGATTGCTCATTAATAGCGTGTGAAGCTGCGGCGACTGTGTTGAACGCGCCCACTCTGGATTATTGAATGAGCCGAGACAAGGATAAATACGGTGAAATGAGCCCTGCCTCTAGTTACAGAGCAGCCCTGGAGATTATTCCTTATTAGAGGGCAGACAGTGGGTTTCTCCATGTTGTTGCTGTGAAGGTAGGGATGAGTCAAAGACTATACCTAACACTAATACAGCAGATATAACGGCACCATTTGAAGTCCTGATCCTCTTTCCAATCCTTTCTCTTTTATCCCAGTTTCTTCCCACCTCTAGAGGAACATGTTCAGCCCCTCGAGGTTCCTAGTTCCAGGACAAATTGCTCAACTTGTTCTTGCCAGACTTACTTTCCTAAGGCGTTACTCCCTTGCCTCTCCCCATACTCTCCTGGGGCCTTTCAGCCAGGCTACTTCATCCCTGAACAGCATTTATCAAACACTCTCAAATAACCAGAAGGCTCTGAAGTGGTATTGTTATGTAAACTATGGCTTCAGCTGCACTGCTGATACCGACTTATGGCTGTTAAAGCGCTACTATGTGCCAAAGCTGTGAAAGGTGAAGTAACAGCATGAAAAGGGAATTCTCATCCATCCATCTGAAAATATGAATTCATTTTAGATTACAGATGTTTGATATCATGGGTAGTGGCAGCCTTCTATATGGGCGGTATGGGCATATGCCCAGAGCAGCATTAGAAATGGGGAGGAAATGGAAGCACCTTTAAATGAAAATACATAGTGTTAAGGTTCCAGTTTGTGGGGTTTTTTTTGTTTCTTTTTCAGTTCCTCCGTGCATCCACCAGATGGTGCTATTGTTCTTTGCTGGTCTGGAGGGTTTTGTGTTCTTCTCTACCTCCCACACCTGCAGCCTATTTGGTCATCACTTCCTGAGGAGTATTTAAGCAGCAGACTGTCTTCACTTCGACGCCAGAGTGTTTGCCAGTATTGGGTATTCTAGCCCCTCTGAGTTTGCAGAGTCTAACTTTGAGTCCCTGTTTTCTTCTGAGTTCTCAGCGCTAACCAAGTTTTGTCTTCAAGTCTTGGAAGGGACTCTTTCATCACGCTGAGAATTGGAGACAGATCGCCTTATCTGAACGCCATTCAATTCTAGAACATTGTGACAGTCTGCTCAACTGCTCCTCAGGACCACCATAGTCTGCCTGTCCGCCCTCCAATGAACAACACCTTCTACCAGACATGGGCAATGTGGAGTCAACAAGTCATCTCCATGTCATGTATTTGTTCTACCCAGGCACTGAAGCAGGTGAGTCCAATCTTCACCGTGAATTAACCTGTGCAGATTGGACTCACCTGGTTAATTGGCTGGGTAGATTAAATACATGACATGGAGATGACTTGTTGACTCCACATTGCCCATGTCTGCCTTCTACAGAGCAAGCCTCCACAAACAGGAACTCTGGAACCTCCCCTAACAACCACAGTGAGTCCAAGTCAAACCTTAAATTTAGACGTCAGGCAGTTTTTCCCACTGTCCTTTAACTCACCACTCTGATCTCCTCCTAGGGTTTCCAGTTCCGCTTCACCAGACCGCTGGATTTTCCCAAGCTGAGAATACCCTTAGTTTTGTCTCTCTGAGTTTAACTTTTGTCTCTTTAAATTCCATTCAGTCAATTACTTATTAACTTTTACCCTGCCTCTGAGTGGTGTTCTTCATGTGGGCTACTTTAAAAACCCATCATGACACATAGCTTATGTGTCAGTTTACTACTCAAACAGTTTTCTTTTTGAATAATCTTTTCATTCCTCCTTGTCATTTCCCACATACAGTTTATGTGATGTGAGATTTTTATCTGTGATGATAGAAATATAGTTACGTTACATTTTTGCAAGTATGAATCAAAAATTTATACGAATGACAGCTTTACGATTATGAGTCCATAATCCCTGATGAAACTATTAAACAACCCACTGGTTGGTAGAGGTAATGTACCTGAAAGTTGTTGGCAAACCACCATTAGACAAGAAAAAAAGAGAAAGTTAACAAAACCATTGATTTAAGGTTAAAGGCATGTACATTATTAGGTTTGATCAATAATTGTGCTTTCTTCTTATATCTGCTCATCTTAGGAGATTTGTACTCATACATCTTTGTTCTGTACTTGTAGTTTTTGCAAAGTTGTACCTTTTATTTCTAACTTTCAAACTTGTTTCCTCATATATGACAAATCAGACATGATTTTCAAGAAATAAAGACACATCTCAGGGTGATCTTTAACACATTTAATTACCTATATGGACTTACATTACACAATTTAGACTCATATGCATATGTTGTTTTATTGAAAGTTATGTTAACTCAGATAAAATGTCATTATATGCCACACTTTGCCCCTTCAACATGAATTGAGGTGAACAGTTAAATTATTGATTCCAGTTTGTAGATTTTGAGTTGGCAAACCTTTCCAACCACTGTACCTGTAAAATTGACTGACGTTAGATGCATTCCCTTGCTCTTCCAATAAATTAAAGTATTTCTTTGAATACTTAATGCCACTTGAGAGGGTTGAGGAATTTGAACTGTTCAACCATTTGACATGCGATAACTACCCATACAGGGTTCATCAGATCTACATGTCCCTATTTCTTCCATACATATGGTGTTGTAGCTTGTAAATGTGAGGCATTGTCTCTTTTCAGAGTCAAAACTGTAGTTAGCATTCACCCCAGTATTTTCTGCCTTTGGCTGGAGTAAATTGCCAACCTGGAAGATAATCATTGTACTCTGCAGAACCTCATTAAAACCCTAATCTTCAGCTTCACAATACAGTTCATTCAGTGCAACCGAAATTCAGCGCACATGCAAACTTTTCAAGGGAGGTAAAACCAAAGGCTGACTTACCTCGTCCAGACAGCGCTCGTACTGCTCCCTCTGGCTCTCGTTCTCCAAGGCCAAAGCAGAGTTCTCCTCCTGCGAATGACACGTTCTCCTTAGTTACATCAGGATGTGACTAAACAACACGGAAGAAGACAAAGGCAGCAATCAAGCAGAGGATCAAGGAACGGGAGCCTGCCCTAAAAAAAAGGTCAGACGTCGACTTTGAACAGGGATAGCCAATAAAAGAAAAAAAAATCACCAACTGCAACAGAGAAAAAAGGTCAAGGGGACGGAAGTTATGATGTTGAACTTTTGGGCTGCAAGAGTTTGGATCTAATAAGAATATCTCCTTTGCTTGCCGAGCGCCGAGGCGGCACTCTATTGATCTCGGAGAGTTTCCAATTTGTGAGGCAGGCTGCGTATTAGGACCTGTCAGCCTCCTTTCGCTTCCCTCGCCCTCTGCCCTTTTAGCAGAACCCACCAGGCCCTTGATGAAAACATGGAAAAACATAATTGGGACCCAAAACATTCCAGAGATGCCAACGCGGACGAAACACAGAGTAATTAAAGCGTCAGAGCGTGGGAATCGGATTGGATGCAAACTGATGAGTAATTAAACAAAGCCTTGTTGAGTTCAGCAGTTCTATTATTAGATCCACCATCTTATTCATTAATGGTGTCATTGCTCAGAAAAGGCAATTCATCTTAAAAGAACAAGATATTTGAAATGTGTTTGTTTAGTCAGCATAGCACACACGCATGATTGACTGTTTTACTAATTAAAGCCTTCCGATATCACGCTATCAGACTCACAATTTCCTCCGTGAAAGCTTGGAAAGAAGAAGGTGTTGAATAATATAAGGATGGAGAAGATAGTTGGAGTTTTCTTTAAAAAAATATTGTGGGTATATTGTATGCTATAAGAATATGTAGTTTGAAACCATTAAATTAATACATTTAAAAATTGGCAGCTATAAAAGTTTTACAAAAACAAAATTTTGTTTTTTATCTTATGATAGATCCATCTGGGCTATGAACGGTAAGGGTTTCACAATTTTGTCTTTATTACTCAAACAAATTTGATTGATATTGATTTTCCTTTTCACTTTTTTCTTTTTAATCTGGGTGTTACTGCCCCCTGCTGGTTATTTCAACACCAGGCTTACACTGAATGCAGTGTAGGGTGAAGGCATCTTAAGGAACCCTGATCAGTAAAATCAATGTGTACGCTAACATTAGCCATGCTGCAGGTGCAGATATTTTTATTTCATTTAATTTTTTTTTCTAATAAATTTTTTAGCATTTTTTTTTTCATATTTTTGTATGTGTTTTTATATATATATTTTTTTATATTTTAGCTTTTCGTTATTTTGTTGTTTTTTTTTAATGAATTTTGCAAATTTCAAATTGCGTTTTTACGATCATGTTCTTTTCACTTCTAGGGCGGGCTTTCGTCTGGAGGGAGGAGCGAAGGATTCATTTCTATTGGTCCGCTGGACGTTAGCAACAACAAGAGTTAGCTGTTGTATCGGACTAGAAGTGGAAAAAAAATTATCCGTAAAATGCAGTTTAATATGGAAACAATTCAGTAGATTTAATCTGAAAAGGAGAAAATTGAAGAAAAAAATAATGTAAAAATAAAAAAGCTGTCAATTTTTTTGGTAGAAAACAAAAAAAAATGTTAAAAGTGATTTTTTTTTTTTACTGTTTTCTTGTGTAAGAAGTTTCCAAATTGTTATTTCTGGATTTCATTTTGTTTTTTTTTCTTTTGCTGGCATCAATAATGGAACAAAATTCACTCCATAGCTTCAGCCTTTTTATATTTCTCTGACAACATAAGACAAAAACATGACGTAAACTGGAAAAAATGCTGAATCAATATTGAAGGACTAATCGCCATCTCATGTTTAATCTGGATGTGCTTGGTCCTTATAGTTGATGTGTTTTTTTTCAGATTTATTAGGTAACAGATGTTCCTGGGGTCACAGAAGGTGACCCCCATCCATTTCTCCCTCAGATCTGGGTTTCATCACTCGCTTCTCGTCCATGGCGCGTGTTCACCAAGCTAATGAGCGACCTCAGCGGAGCTGCAGGGAATAGGAGCCGAGCAGTGCTTACTTAGTGTCAGCTGAGCTTATTCACACTGTGGGTTGTTGATGTATTGCCTGTGTTTTGTCCCCTCTGCTTCAACCGCCGGTGCATCCATCAACTCGCACGGGCGAGTGGAATAAAAAATGGCAGATAAGATTTGATGAAGCTGTTTGAAACGTAACGCTTGAGTAAGGGGGGGGCTGCGTGGCGGGATTAAGGGATTGGGGGACAAAAATCCAGCCAGAATGAGAAGATTTATGAGATTGTGGGAACATTTCTGAATGTTAAATAGACAGGAAAAAGACATTCCTCTTTCAATGATCTTATTTCATCGTTATAAACCGTTTAAGTATAAATCCGCGCAACCAGAAGCATAATTTGATTAAGTCTGAGACCTTTAATCGCTTAGAAGATCTTAAGGATGTGTGTCCATTGGCTTCTTTAGGAAACAAGGCGCTAAAATCCCTGAGCCTAGGGATAAACAATCCATAGCTGTAGTGCAGCCAGCGAGGCTTGGTGACACCTCTGCTCTCTCCAAACATTTGATGAGCTGTCATGCTTTCAGACACAACCTGCACGCCGTCTGGCCAGATAGAGGGAAGGGCTTCTTTGATGAAGACTGAAAATCTACCTCCAGGGCCTTGAGGCGCTCCAGAAGGGGCTTGGTTTTGTCTTTGTCCTCCTGGTCCTGGATGCCATCGTGTTCGGGATCCAGCTCGGCTGGAGTCGCCGGCGGGATATCGTTCTCTGCGGGGCCGTCGTGACGTTTCTGCACTTCCTCTAACAGTTTATCCTGCAAAAAGTGAGAAAAAAAAGGATACACATGTAACTTAAGAGGGAAAGGAGAGGGATCCTGTGAAAAGAGGGAAATAAAAATTAGACACAAAAGGAAGAAGGCGATAAAGGTATGACAAAAGCTAGTAAGGAAACAAGGAAGAATGGGAGCTATGACAAAAGGAAAGAAGGACGGAGGCAAGGAAAGGAGGACATAAGGTGTTACAAAAGGAAGGACAGTACAGAAAGCCCGGAGAAAAAAACAGGAAGAAGAAACAAACAAATAACACTGAAGATCCCATTTACAAAATATTCCTTATAGGAGGCGCTTAATTGTACACATGCAAAATTGTTTTTAATAGGTGCAATAATTATTACATTGCAAGCAAGATGAATTGTTTCGTGATTTCACAAACTAGCAAAAATACATCATTGCATATATGTTTGGCCTCGATACAGAAATGTTTTGGACCAATAAAATAAAGTGACGCCTATGACAGAAGCAAAGCAAACATGGCTGTGCTGCTTTTAGCTGGAATACCCTCTATTTTATTTTTTAAGTGAGCAAAAGGAGGCTGTTTTTGTCTTTGCAGATGGGAAGATGGTTGCGGGTTCCTCCTGACGGATTTGGTTAAAGTGATTTATCAGTAAATCCACTTGTTAAACAAATTGAGCTGCTACTCCTGCTGTGATTGGCTATAAACTCAACAGGGGATGCAGGTAACCAATCAGCTCAAAGAATTTGACTGAATGTCCAATCCTTTTTAGGGAGTGTTTCTACGGGAGCCTTCCCAGATCTATCCGTGTAGTTCAATTTGAATTCTACGTGGTATCCATCTAGCTTTTGCCAGGTTACTATCAATATGCTTGTTGGATGTGATCTAAAAATACTGCTGTGCAAATGTTTAGGCATGCAAACTGATTTAAAATGAGCAAACTTGGTTTTAAGGGCAATTTGAGAGTGGCCATAAAGAAAGATGAGGTTCTAAGCCATTGAGATAATGGAAGAAGAAGGGAGGAAATAATGATAACAAGAGCTTATAAATAATATCTATAGAACATTTTAAACAGGTAGCATACATCTATTTGCTAGAACTAAACTAAAAAAGATTTGATATGAAAGTTGAATATAAAAAGTATAAAATCTGAACATGAGAAATTCGCGTTTGTCTTTTGATAAATCGACGGACAAGAAAATTCCCTGTTGCAACAACCAAGAGATGTGACCATGTCTCTCTGCAGGTTCTTTTGATTTTCTTTGTCTTTTTTTTATTTTTTATAAAAATCCCCTAATATTTAATATATGTAATTTTCTTCTCATTTTGGTTTAATGGCATAAAGATTGTCTGCCAATGTTTTCTTCATTAATATCATCCTACTGTTGTTTTTTCTAATGGTCCAAATATATTTACATGAGTGCAGAATCTGCCTCCATCCTGGCGTGGTATCAACGCCTCCCTTGTTGCAACAAATAACCCGGATATTTTTGTGTGTCGGTTTGTACCTGACTTTAAGTAGTACTTAAAAAGATGCTAAAACTGTATCCACAGATGAGTTTCAATTTCGAAATAAAAAAATCAGCGGATACGCACATGTGGTCTCCCATTCATCAATACATTCAGCATCCATGCTTTGCCACTCCGTACATCAACTGTCCTTTGTTAAAGTTTTGTGTGATTGAATCATAAAGGTTTTGAGACTTCTGTAATGCGGAGGAAGAAAAACTAATTAGGTTTAAAAATGGTCACCCCCAAAAATCGGCATCATTTACCAGGGATCAGTTAGACTGTGGTCAAAATAATAGGTGTTGCCCTTGAAAAAAAAAACTGTATCAGTTGATTGTTTAGTAATCTGAAAAGAATATGAGGAAATAAGACAAAAAAAAAAGGTCCTGAACCCAGGTGCACTTTAAAATACGGAAATAAAATTCCATACTTTCGGCTACTACATTGGAACTTTGTAGATGACAGAAGAGAGGGAAAATAAGAGAAGTTGGCCAAAATTATCAAGCAGATGGGTGGGGATCTTTTAAAACAGAGCAAAGACAAAGATAAAAACAGAAAAATACAAAAGGGAACGTAAAAGGCAGGAGCCAGGGGGACAAAATGGGAGAGGATCAGATGGGCAGATGGGACAGAAGCTTCGACAACAGAGCTCCAAAACATCCCAGAATCCCTAATCGTGTTTCTCCAGTTTTTGGTGACCTTCACGTCTCTTTGGTCTTCCTTCTGGGGGACCCAATCCTCTCCCTCCTTATCCTCTCTCTGGCTCATCCCCCGCTGTCTTTGACTACCTCTCACTTTTTCTTTATCCTCCCGCTTCCTGCGGTTTCTAGTCATTAATGACTGCTGTTAATTAGATTCTAAATCGGCTTCGAATGACTGCGGAGCACCAAACATCTTCGTAAGAAGACAAAATAGAGACACTGGCAAAACTAGTCAAGAGATTGTTGTTGTTTTTCCATCTCTGCAGCCTGGATCTCTTGATTGATTCCCCATAAAGCTAAAGCAGTGGAAAACAACAGCCCTTTAAATAAATGAACACAGATAGGGCTGAAACAAGTTGGTTTTGGATTCAAACACGTGAGAACTTCTGTGTTTTGTCAATGTCAACAGGACGTGTTGCAGGTTGATGGGCAGTTCAATAAAAAGCTACTCAACGACTCTTCTCATTTCTCCACCAAAACACCAGAGAACGTTCAGCTGTTGGTTTTTAGGCTAAATCTAGTCGTCATTGTCTTCGTTTAGTACTGAAATTGTTTTAAAAAAGCAAGTATTCGCCAAACTGGCTGTTTTTGGTCAGTCTGATTTTGTCCCATTTCAGTCCAATAATAGACATTAGAAACTTTCAGATCGTTTTCAGAATGACAATCTTTTCAATAAAAATTACGGCTTTCCACCTTTCACTTTTCAACCAAATGCAAAAGTTGTTTCATGTCATTAGGATAGTGTGAAAGATTAGTTTAAAATGTTGCATAAATCAGTATTTTTGGACAACTCAGGGGTAAATTTGGAGCTAACCACATGGAATGGACCAAAAGGAATCCCAGTGATTCTGATGCGTTCACAGCAAATGCAAAGCCTATGAAAGAATCGACGCTTTCGCGTGTTTTTGTCAGCCTGAAAATTCGTCAGAAATGCGCCTGGCAAGCAGTAGCAGGTGAAAGGCTCCACTACCTCATCAGGTCTTTTGGTGGTTGGTTTCACCTTGACATGGCGGTCCTGGATTTAACGGAAAGCCAAACAAAGCTGCCTACTGTCTTATTTGTTTCGTGATGCAATAATTTCTCAATTTTGCATCACTAACTTCTGAAAAGTTGGCTACTAAAGACAATACCAGACCCAAAACCAACTGAACAGGAGGTAGCAGTAAAGGGCCTTAAAGGTAAAGTAGAAGATCTTCTTTTGGATTTGAGTTTCCTGTTGTTCCTCTAGTTCATGTATCCAGCTAGAACTGAGTTCAACCATCCATTGTAACTCCCCTACTTTAACCATCACTTTAAAATGGCTGAAAGTTACAAGAAGCAACCTTCTTACAAGTTAAAGTTGGGGGTGGAGGGTAAAATTTATTTATTTTTTTTCCTACTTGCTTTGGTTCTGTATTATTTTCCTATATTTTAATCATGTAAAGCACTTTGCATTGTCTTTGTACTGAATTGTGCAATACAAAAAAATTTGCCTTGCCTTGCCTTGCCTTGATACAAATGGTTTGAAACCCTTTTTATATCTTTTTTTGGCTCAAGCTTAGGTTAAGCTTAATTTCCCCTGTAATGGCCATTGCGTCATTGCGATGGAGTATTATGGCCATACTAAGACATATATGAATATACATACTGTATATTTTCAGGTCCTCTACCAGAGGCCTGGGAGCTTGAGGATTCTGAGTAGTATCTTTGCTGTTCCTAGAACTGCACTCTTCTGGACCGAGATGTCGGTTGTATTTCAAGGGATTTGCTGTAACCACTCCTCCAGTTTCGGGGTAAGTGCCCCATAGTGCCCCAATGACCACGGGTACCACCGATGCCTTCCCCTTCCAGGTTTTCTCCAGCTCTTCTCTGAGCCCCTGGTATTTCTCTAGTTTCTTATGTTCCTTTTTCCTAATGTCGTAGTCACTTGATTTTGCTATGTCAAACACAACAGCTTTCCTCTGCTTTTTGTTCACCACCACAATGTCCGGTTGGTTTGCCATTACCATTTGGTCCGTCTGTATCTAGAAGTCCCACAGGACCTCGATGTTTGCAGCCCATACTCTGCACAGATGTTCCTGTATACAGTTCCAGCCACTTGGTTATGGCGCTCCATGTAAGCGTCTTACACCCTGCAGTTATGCCTGCTCCTGTGTAGCCATGATGACTGCCTCTGTGCATATATAGTGTAGTTATTCTGTAACATTACCAGATTACAGTTGTAATATTCCCAGAGAATTGTCGCAACTATACAAGATAAAGTCATGACATTATGAGAATAAAGTAGTAATATTACCTGATTATTGTCGCTCTGTAACATTGCCAGATTAGAGTTGTACTATTACCAGAGTAGAGTGGTAACATTCCAAGATTAAAGTCGTAAAATGACTAGATTGGCGAAGGTGGTGTTGGATGTAGTAGTTTGCCCTGAAATCAAAGGATTGACGGTTCAAGCCCCGACTCTGACTTTCAGTGTCGTTGTGTCGTTGGGCAAGACACTTCACCTACATTGTCTACTGATGGTGGTCAGAGGGCCCGGTGGCGCCAGTGTACCGCAGCCCCACTTCTGTCAG